AATTCTATGCTGACTTATGTATGTATGTAAGTGTCTGTAGGCGGTTCGTTTAATTCGTTTTTGCTCATACCCAACGCGACACTTCAAGCCATTTACCAGCTCTTATTGGTAAAGGTCACTCTTTTCTTCCGATACCCAGTAAAAGTTCTGAACGCGAAAATATATGAAAGCGCAATCTGAAATGCATTTTAAGTTAAGTAATTCAACCATTAATAAGCTGAGGCAAATGTTGTCATACATACCGACGGGTCTTAACTTTGGCTGTCCCATTTAATTGACTTCTTCCTGCTTTGCTTTTTTCAATAAGAAATATTATCTTTTGTTTTCATAATAAATTTTTCCGATAACACAAAATTTCTTTTGAACGAGGTGCCTATAGCTCCCCTAACAATCAAAAGGAATTCGCCTGGATTGGTCTCTTAGGAGACATCGCTTTTTGCTACTAAGCAAGTAATAACGGAGTACAAAACCGACGAATCTCAATTATTGCTCCGATATCGATTACTCGGGGAGTATTCTTTTATTGCTCACTGCGTAGATCTCCCGTTTGGCTCCTAAGCGAGTAATAAAAAAGTACAAAGTCGACAAAAATCGTTTATTGCTCCAAAATCATGGCTCTGGGAGTATTATTTTGTTGCTCACTTAGGAGATCTTCGATTTGACTCCTAAGCGAGTTATAAAGGAGTTCAAAACCGACAAATCTCTCCTATCGCTCCGCAATCAGGCCAAAGGAAAGGGAGTGCTCTTTTATTCCTCACATTGTGAGATCTCCCTTCAAGTTCTAGTGGGATGTACTTTATACATACATATGCTCCTACATAAGCATGCTACCAACATAAATACATATAATTATAATACATATTTTATTTTAGAAAAATTAGCTAATAATGCTCAGAATTCTTTAAGTACATCGGCCTTTACATTGTGGCTGTTCACGCTAGCCTGGCTATCAGGTTATCTGGTTATGTGGTTATATTTTTTATTCAGTTTACAACAATAAAATACGCTAGAGAATAATAATTTTTAACCAAATAACCTGAGTATGAACAACCACATTATTTATGTAAATATTTCAATACCTTGCTGCCGCTTCACTTGGCTTTCCATATTCAGCAGATTGAAGTTATATTAAATTGTTATTAAATTCTTTTTGCGCTATAAATAAATGTATATGTATTTTGTCCGCATGGCCAGCTCCAACTATTTAGTTAGGTGCAAATTTAACTATTGTGTGGGTAAATTAAGTTGATTATGCATCTGCCTACAGCCATGGTATATTTATTGTACTTATGTAAATATGTATGCATATAAAGGCATGCTAGGGACGTTGTTATTAAACTGTGAAGGGTTAACGGCAAACAGTGAAGCAGAAAATAGGATTATCAGCAAAAATAAATAGATAAATATTTGCTTTTACTGGTCGCAGTAACGCTGCTTAAGCTTCACCGTAAAGGCGTCTGCTGTGCCAGCGCCAAAACCAACACCAAACTAATTTGCCGTGCAAAATAGAGTTTTTTATTAGGAATAGGACGCGTATGGGCGATATTTAAATTGAATTTTCAAGGTTACTTAAATTGATATTTTCAAAGTTATTGAAATAGGTAGCCTGTTTGTTAAATAAAAATAAGTTTTACTGAAGAAAAAAGTTGTTGTACGTTAATGTAAGTTGCTGAAAAAGTTCTATGTGTATATAATTATTAGCGGTACGAGTATAGGAAAATCATGCAGTGTGTTTTCACCTATTTTAGCTGTTGTTTGTTTGTTGTCTGAGATAGCTGATCTAAAGTTGTATAGAGAGTTATAGTTAGATGGTAAACGCATTTGAAAGCATTGGATGGTACGGTGGAGTGCATTAACGCCTGCGTTAATTTCTGCCTGGGCATTGATTTATCTCTTATAGGAACTAATGTCTATGGGCGCAATTTGGAATTCCTCATTTTTTGAACATACAGAGGCTGTGATTTATTAAGTAGAAAGCTATTCACAAATAGCTTTGATCAAAGCTTTTTATTTTGACGGTGGGTCAGTGATAAAAGAAACCGTCTGAGGTTCGGAGTGCCAATGCAATGGTTGGAAAACAAGAATCACTTTGATAACTCTTACTTCTGTTGTGCTACTTTTCGTGTTGTTAACTTTGAAAAAATGATTTATTTAGACTTTAAATCGGCTAGAAGACCCTTCTTAAATTAAAAGGAAATACCTATTAAAATATTTTATTCCAAGATTTAGCGTTTACAAGGCCAAACCCTTTCACCCAAAAGGAGTTAAATAATTTGAAAAGGGATTTAGTATTATCTATATAAACTCGTCAGGTGCAAAAAGTATTGTCGTATAGTACAAGATAGCAAGAGCTGCTATAATTTTTTCAATCAGAGAATGATATTGTTATTTGTTCAGCTACGCAAGGCCCTATTCTGGAAACGGGACTTTGGGAATATCAGCCAAATGAATGGCGTCTTTTTACACACAGTTTGAAACGAAGTCTTACGTGTGTCCTTTTATAATAGCGTAACAAATACGAATCGGTTTCCAGGGCTCATTTAACAAACTGAACAGAAAATTATCAAAATAAATATTTCACCTGTTCACTTCTGTTTATCTAACAAGTAATTTTTAAGCGAAAAACTAAACCGTCTTCAATTCTCATACACAAAGTTAAGGATATCGTTAATATCTTCACGATCCAATTATTGGATCTAAACAAAATTATTACGAGACTACCCCTCAGGTACCATCTTTCCGATGAAAAAAGGATTATCGTTATGCGGTAACATATATAAAAAAAAACCAAAAACCCATGCATTTATTTTCTGTGGTACAATAATGCAAGTACAACAAGTAAGAATGTCTAAGTTCGGGCGGAGCCGCACATTAAATACCCGGCGCAAGTATTAAATATATGTTTTTCACCTTTCTGAAAAATACCGCTACATGGTAAGCCGCGTGCATCAATTTTGAGTAAATTAGAGTCCTTAAATTTCGAAATTTTGAAGTTTCAAGCATTCCTGAAGTTTACCGTTATATGAAAAGCGACCATAATTTTAGTCTGATTTCAAAATTTTCAACGTTTTGCTTTTATGTGGCAAGCACAATAACCATACCGCGTTTGGTACAAAATGGTAGAACGGTTACCGAGATACATATATGCGATCATAAGTGGGCGGTGCCACGCCCGTTTTCCAAAATTTTGCGAACTGATTAGCTTGTTTTATTCTGCACCTAAGTAACTTCTCAATATCAGCAACACTTCAATAAAATAAAATATTGCAAATTTTTCACCTGGATAATTGTCATCTTTTAAATTCTGTCCAACAAAGTCTTGTGACGTAGAGCGTTCATTTTCAATACATATGTATGTACAAAAACTTTTTATGCGATAATCGAAAAAAAATTTGTTATACATATGCATTTTTGGGGCATATATCAAGCATATTTTTAATATTTTGGAGTCATTTTAATAAAATAATAATATTATTTTAAATTCCTTAATTACAAAATCTGTCTAATCAAATTCAAAAATAGTTAACAAAAATTAATTTTTTAATCACGATTGCGATTACTTGTTTAATTAAAATTAATTTACACATGATTAACTCTAATCCGATTAAACCTAAACAAGTTAAATAGTTGATAAAAAAAGTAGTCGATTATTGCGAACACTAATCCAATATAACATCTTGAATTTCAAAAAAAATTAGCTGTGTGGCACCAAAAACACTGCTGACCAATGTAACTAATATTTCCTTTTCGTTTTACGCATAAATATTTTTTTTTTAATTATGTCATACATGCTCAAAACGGTTATTCATGCCTGCTTTAATCGACGCTCGGCATTTCCATACAAATAGCATTTCGAATTGTGGGTATTTTTTTTAATGATACCATTTTCAATCACAAAATATAAAATAACATAAAAGAAAATATTAGAGCAAAACCGAAAATACATATGTTGCTACCTTTGCTTCCATCATTTCCCCAAAACTGCGGCTCAGTAGCTCCAAATCCTTACTAAGAGACACAAATAAATTGCTTTTGTAGCTAAACTTTCATAATTCAATAACACAGAAACTACTCGTAACTGATGTATACATACATACTAGGGATGTTATTTTTTTCGCTTTTTGCGATCCCGAGATTTGCGGTATGTCACTATCACAATCCCGGAATCCCGGGATTAGTTCCGGGATTTAGATATTCATTACTTTTCAACAACTTAAATTGAAAATAATGCTTCTATATTGTTTGAGAAGCTCTCCTACCATAAAGTAAATAATAAATAAATGGGTTTGAAACCTACTATTTTATTTTAAGTGGCATTTTTATTTTTTCTCTCTGACGTCACGATAAAAGGACCTTGTAATTTCAAAGATATGATTAATACCAAAAATTATTTAAAAATGCGGAATAAAAATATGGATACCAAATGAAAGAGGAAATTTCTTTAGAATTAAAAAAGGGTTTATGTTGATAAAATTAGAAGGACGATATTCTAGGATGTTATCGAGTTTATATAAGTTCTAAACATACAATTTTCTCAAAAACAGACATTGCGAAATTTCAAGGATAAAATTTTATAAGGACATTTTCAATATTTACCAGGCCTTATGCAGCAAAAACTTGAATCCGTTTAAATTCTACGGGATTCTCTCTTTAATTTGATGCCCATACTTCATCTCCAAGCATATTTTTTACTGAATGTTTTTAAATCATTTTTGAATTAGTAACATCAGAGGAAAAAACCAAAAATGCAATTTTACTATATTTGGCCCATGGTTATTAAAAAAAAAAAAAAAAAAAATATATAGCCAATACTGGTCAAGAAAAGGAGTTTCTATTATTGCCATCAGTGCAAATTACAAATCACGAAAATGGCAGATAATCCCGGGATTTTCGGAACCAAAAAAAAATGCCGGTATCTCGGGATTAACATTCCTAATACATACATACGTACATACATATTTGCAAATTATAAAAATAGAAGCAAATTTATTTCTACTCACCAACAGCACTTTGTATAGCGGCAATGTTTGCGGTCCCAGCAAAAACTTCACAAATTCAGTCTGTGTGCAATTGAAATTCGGATTATCCGGATGACATGGCCCCATGCCATCAAAATCCTCCTCATCGAAATTATTGTAAATGGTTTGTGTATTTGGCACCCAAGAATCAGCAGCTTTACTCACATCCTTCACGCTTACTGCAGCCCAATCGAGTACACTGCTCTCAGCTCTGCCCGCGCCTTCGACGGCAATCGTTGACGATAGATTTGTGGCATTAAACTGCCATTGAGGCAGAGGAAATGACACATTGTGGTTTGCCACATTTTCACTGCCAAAACTATTAGCATAACTGGTGGTATTGTGCGCGCTGGTTGTCGGTGGTGCCACCGGTGGTAGGATGTGCAATGTGTTGGTGGCGGCGGGTATAGCGTTAACATTTGCATTTGCATTGATGACTGTGGTCAGTAATTGTTTACTGAAATCATATATATTGGTGCTGATATTGTTGATTAGTTGGTTGAGCGCATTCTCGCTGCTGCTATTGATATAGTTGTCGAAGTAGCCAATGTCCGTACTATTGACAAAACGTTGCTCCAGAAGAGCGCTGCTGTTATTGAAAGTTTCGTTGTACAAATTGCTGGAGAGCAAAAAGCTGCTCTCATTGGCGTGGCTGGTGGGGAGATCGGTGGTTAGATTTACAATTGGCGCAAACAGATTCATTTCGTAAGATTTTTAGGTTTGTAATTGTCTGACGATTTGGTTGTTGGCTGTCATTTTCACTACTTTTATGTGATTTTTCTTACTTTAACTGAGATTCATAAAATCGTAATTATTTTGTGGTGCAAATTTTCACTTGCAGTATTTTTGTGCACATTGTTTTTTTATACATATGTATATAACACATCAGCTTTGTTTTATATCTGAAATCGAATATTCGCATTAAAGCACGCTCTTTTTTCATTTCGGTTTTTATAATTTTTCAAACCTACATACAGTATCGGTCATATCAATAGCACCCCCACTTCATGTGATATTCTTTACCCCATATGTTTATTTTATTATTTTTAAGAATTTCCTATCAAAAAAAAAATAGTTTATTCTCTATCAAAACTCATATAGAATCAGATTTAAGTAAAAAATAATGATTTTTTTAAATTTCGTCCAAATCTCAGACTTTTTGCGTAGAATTGTGAGATTTTTTTTGAGTATATAATCTTAAAGCCCATTTAATTTAAATGTGCAAGTTTGATATGGCTAAAAACACAATTTATTTTTATAACAAATAAAAAAATGGTAATTTTTAGACAATTGAAATCGGTTTATATGCGAGGTTTACGTGGTTACGAGGCATTTGAGGTGATATTGATTAGAACGATAAATAAAAAATTTAAATCGAAAATAAATTGTTCGTGCCAAAAAAAAAAAACCGCAAAGGACAAGTTTTCATTTAAAAAACATTCGTAACGCTTAAATAAATATTAATCGGCATATTAAATTTGTACTAATTAAAGATAGCTTCTTTTAATATTTTGCAGGCTTGAAATTGACTTTAGAACTATGGTCTAATGCATTTTTTTTTCGTAGAACTTTATTTAGAATCCCAATCTATTAGGAACGATGTAGAAAAAAATTTACCCACCCTAATATATGCATATATGTATATATTTAACACATTTTATCTCCATGTATTTAAACGCAGAGTAATCACATAGTTGCGGACCAAAGAAGGCCTGGTCTGCCCAACTCTGGCCAAGTGGTCAGATGTCTCATTAACAGGTATTCCCGAGTGACTTGCCACCTAGAGTAAAGCAAACTTTGACTGGTTTGGAAGTAGTTAGAGGGCTGGCCAATACCTTAAGTGCAACATGGCTGTCACTGCAGACAGATTTTGCACCACGTAGTCCACGGCCTTAAGGATTGCAAATACCTCGGCCTGGAAGGCCGAAGCATACTCCCCAAGAGAAAAGTGAAACTTATCAGAGTCAGTTTTGGAGCCATTAGTGAAGATTGGACAATGTGCGAGTCCGGGCTTAGTGCTGTTATCAAACCAGCATTCAGTCTCAGGTTACTCAACATTATAAAATCTCTTCAACAAAGGTAATGGTGGCATACTATATGTTTCATTGAAAGGACACAAGTGCTCATATCTCTGCCGCCCGCAACTTCCGCCACGCCCCACTTGGAGTTATACCAACATACGTTTTTTTTAGTCACCAGCTTGGCACGTATGATGACACAAAATGACGGTAAGTGTAGCAGTGGCCTTACTTACCCGACGGGATTTTAATGATACAAAGAGAGATAATTATATTTTAATCGATGTCCTGAAATGCAGCCCTAACAAACACCCATTTGTAATTACGAAAAATTGCTAAAAATATATTTTGGTATATTTGTAAGAAGCTTAAAAGCTTTCTTTTCTTACAGAGTTTACCACTTCAAAATTAAATCTTTATTTGATGAAATATTTGAGTCTGTTACATAAATACACCATACCTTTTTCACACAACTTAAAGACTACAACTTTTTAAAATTTTTCATACTTAATTGTTAACGAACTGTACACGCATTGACACACTTTGAGTTATTAAGCGATTTGCCGAAACGATAATAAACACTGCACTTGACAAATGCGAATTTCACTGCTTGTTATCGTACATAGCTCTCGTTCAGCTTTGGACCCCCTGGCGATTCTCAAAACGTCATTCAATTATTAACTCGCCGCTGATTAATTGAGCTGTCGACGCGTATTTCGAATAGTTATTTGTAGTTCAGTAAATATTAGAAATTAGCTGTAAAGCAACAACAACAAAAACACATGACCATCTATTAAAAAAGTGCACACGCGTGTACCGCAAAGATACTTTTCGCTCAAACAAATTTTGCCGAATAAAAATTGTTATGCAGTCTACAGTAGCTAAAGGCGCTAAGCTATGATTTTGCACTAGATAAAATTTTGTTGTTGAATACACTTATGTACATATGAACAGATTCATACATATGTATCTATATATACATATATATATATGTGCGAGCGGACATACATATGTATGAGTATGCAAAAGTATTTTAAAAGTCACATAGCCGCACAACTGCCGAAAGTTTAAACAATTAAGAAGCTATTAAAAATACGAAGATAACAAAATCGGAGATGAGAAATTGTTATCGCATTAAAAGTAACTGTTTCATGCATCTTTTATATCTGTTTTCGTTCTTTTTTTCTTTCTTAGTACTCATAAACGAATTCCTCAGTATGGCATACGCTCGCTATATAAATATTAAAATGTAATTAAAATGTCACAACGACGAGTGTTCCCATGTGATGAGATAATAGATAAGTAGTGTGTAGATATGCACAGTAGTGTTCATATATTTTGAAACATGCTGTTTTTAAGATGAGATTATTCAATCGTACTGTGATTAGATTGGATCTTGGTTAGCGTAAGAAGTTCCCTTGATTGGGTATAGTTCACCCCCGGACAGAAACACCCTTCAGATACATATGCTCACATATCGCCACGGCAAGCTCATAGATGCGCTTCTTAGTAATATCTTACCTCAACTTCGAATCGGGCTGCTATATACATATATTCATAAGTAGTATTTTTCATTCGATTTTCGCGAAGAAAAGCCTTGAATGTACTAAATGTGCGCTCGCCATAAGTTGATACAAGTGAAGCCCTATTTAAATATGGAACGTTTGAAATGTTCATATTATTAGGAATACGTTTTCCTTGCCCTTTACAATTTTATCCACACCCCTTATTGTCCCCAAGCCTACGTTAGCTGAGAAAACGGCTTTGAATTTTTCCAACACCGATTTGGCGATTATGCAATCGTAGGACACTTTACGTATTTTTGGGATCTTCATTTTATACACAGCTTCCAGATCCGAAAAGATAGTAATGTAGAGGTGAGACTTTTAGTAGTCGGTTCGGTGTAAATGCAAACATCGATGTTACGAAAAAGCGACACGATCGTTGGGCTCTAATTCCAAACTCTAATGAAACGAAAAAGGCAATGAAAGAAGAGAAGGGATGGCGGAAGTAGTTGGGCACGATTAAGATTAAGATTGTTAAGAATAAGATTAAAATAAAGATGAATATTGAGATCAAGACTAAGGTTAAGACTAGGGTTAAGATTAAGATTAACACTAAGATTAAGATCAACATTAAGATTAAGGTTAAGTTTAAGATAAGGTTAAAATTAAGATTATTATTAAAACTAATATTAAGAATAAGATTAAGATTAAGATAGAAAAGATTATGATTAAACTTCAGATTAAGATTGAATAAGACTAAGACTTACATGAGGATTGACATCAAGACTAAGATTATGTTTAATATTAGGATGAAGATTGAGATTAAGGTTAAGATTAAGATTAAAATTAAGAATAAGACTAAGATGAAGATTAAAATTAAGAAGAAGATAAAGATAAAGATTGAGCTTAAGATAAAGATAAAGATTGAGCTTAAGATTAAGATAAAGATTGAGGTTAAGATTAAGATTAATATTAAGATTGAGATTAAGATTAAAAGTAAGATTTTTATTAAGATTAAGATTAAGAATAAGAATAAGATTAGGATCAAGAAAGAATAAGATTGTGATTAAACTTAAGATTAAGACTAAGACTGAAACTAAGATGAGGTTTGACCTTAAGACTAAGACTATGTTTGAGATTATGATTAAGATTGAGATTAAGAATAACACTAAGATTAAGATTAAAATTAAGATTAAGAAGAAGATGACTAAGTTTAACATTAATATTATGACTAAGATAAAGTTTAAGATTAAGATTAAGCTTGAGATGATAATTAAGATTAGGAATAAAATTAAGTTAAGGATTATGTTTAAAAATAAGATTAAAAGATTATTATTATTATTATTATTTGTTGGGGATATATACAATATAACCCTAACTTAATTAGCACACTGGCTGCTAGGACCTTCGGTGCTATTAAAAGATTATTATCAAGACTAACATTAAAATTAAAATTTTGTAAAAAAAGACTCATATCATATGTACGAGTTATACGGGTAATACGAAGAAAAAGTCCCACTTCACACGCGCATGGAATCCACGCACAACTTTTATTTATAATATCGAAGTTATACTAACTAAATGCGAATGAAGTTTTTTTTTTTGTAAATTCTATAAATACCATAGAAATAAGTACTTCTCAACAAGAAACAAGTGCTAAAATACAAACACACATATTGTTATTTAATTTTAGCTGACGTAAATGGAAGAATTAAAGTAATTTTTTGCATTACTAGCGAGTGGCTGGCGTGATTTTAACCCACGGATTTTTTCGAAGGATTATTGAGATTTATATACATAAATAACTGCTGGTAGAAGTATGTGTGTTTCGCCCGGTGTGTGCATGTGTGTGGGTGAGCATGCGTGTAGCCATTTGTTTGCCTTTTCAGCGCGTTTTTTTATACCTTTCATGAGCATGAAATGGTATTATAACTTTGGTCCGATGTTTGTAAGTACCAGAACAAAAAGAGATAGACCCATTAAAATGTATACTTATTTGATCAGAACGTCGAGCTGAGTTGATTTATCCATGTCCGTCTGTCCGTCTGTCCGTCTGTCCGTCTGTCTGTCTGTTTGTATGCAATCTAGTCTCTCAGTTTTCGAGATATCCGGATCAAATTTGGTAAGTGGGTGTATTTTTATAATGTATTAATCATTTGTCGGAACCGGAAGAATCGGACCACTATAACATATAGCTCCCATACAACT